AATAATTTAAGAAAATGGTTCATTAATGGAGGTGATAATATAGACGGGTTAATGGAATCGTTTAAATTGCACCAAGGGTCTGAAGAGCACACGCGCTCTTTAAAAAAGATTCAAGGTGCCGGAGACAATGGCAATGATGATATAGCAAAATCAAATGATGAATCAGCATCTTCCAAAACGATCTATATGTCTCCAAAAGTCACAATGCAAAAAGCTATTTATGACAAGCATAATTCGGATCCTAATTTTTACAGGAGAGATGTTTACTGCTTGCCGATAGAATGCATGAGCATCATACCTATCCCAGACATTCGACTTAGGAATCTTTTAGAAAAATATGGCCTCAAGGGATCCGTGTTATTGCTTCCAAATCTGTCACCTGCGAAATTACGTGATGATATATCTAAAGCGTTTCAGAAGACGTTTAATCTACGCACACAAGAATTGTTACAATTTGACTATCTTGCTCTGACCCAGTCGAAAAAGGAGCTAACGAAGCCGCATAAGTTGTTGCATTTTGACGGCAAGACGGTTTTATCTTTCATTGGAAAATCTCAAATGTACATTTTGTTGAGACAAAAAACACCGACACCTGAAGTCTGCTGGAAAGATCTGTTATTTCAGGAAGATAAATTACGCAGTCTAAGCGATAGAGAATATACCGAAATAATGCTGAGCGTTATGTATCGCTTAAGTTCGAATAAACACAAGAAGGAAGCCACAGACGAGCAAAAGCAAATGGTCGACTCACTTCTTGGGATGTACGAATTGAATAATTATCATCAATTGTTATTTACCGGTAATGGATTTAAACAACTAGTACTATTCACAAACTCTAGGAGAGATGAAGCTTTTAGTATTTCTCATGGCGATCATGTGTCTTTGGAAAAGACTTTTAAAAACTTATTCGGAGGGTATTTTTGGAATGGAATAGACGATTGGTGTGTAGTAAAGGTTCAAGGATGCGGTGAGTGCGCGAAAAAATATGGGAATAAATTATTAGCGTCGGAAAAAACGATGGACACAATAATGGAAGAGCTTATACGTGAGAGAGGGTCTGAAGAAAATCCTAAAGAAAGCACCTCGGCAGGAAAATCAAAAAATGCTGAAACAGAAAATACAAAACATGACACCCCTGGAAAAGGTGTTGTTGTTCAGCTACCACAAGATGGCGCTAGTGAATCTCAAACGGAAGATTTTAGTGAAAGCAGTCTAGTGGGAGAATCATCTGAACCTGCTTATCCCGAGAGTACTGGTGTAGCGTCTCAAAGACAACAGAATCTAGCTGACCCATACCCAATGCCTGATTCAGTTACCGGCGCCCCGAAGAATTCGGAACCTTCGATTGTTATAAAACAGTCTCCAAGCACTCGTACAAGATTGGGAAGTTTGAGAGATACCAGACAAAAGTCGACACCCTTACGCATGGCTGATCCTCCGCAAACTATGCCTGCCAAGAACCGTCGCTCTGGGTCTTCCGATGCGGAAAAAATTACCCCCGTCATTAAAAAAGAACCGAGTGAATTACTTCCTCCCCCAGAAGACATAATAGATACTGACGATGAAATGGACAGGGGGGAAACCTTATATGAAGAAGACTTGGAAGAGGCAATCCAAAAAAATTGCAAAAATACAAGTGATGGGGCACATTGCATGAACGCAATGTGGTCAATGTACCTCCTTCAACAGCGAGGAATAAATTGCGATTTTTTTATCATGCTTTTGCCATCGATTTACAATGGTCTCAAAAAGCCGAAAATTTACGGAGTACATAAAATTGTCTTTTCTGCGATTTCGCGGCGTATCCGTAACATTTCTAAAACGACGATTAAAATCGGTGGGAAGGTGACTTGTGAAGCCATGGAAAGCGTGATTGAGTTTGGATACACTGGCCGTTTAATCGGGATCTCTGAATTACAACTTACGAGCATCGCTCAAATCAGTTCAGCATCTCTGGCCCTGGATATTAAGATAGATCATTATCTTCAGAAATATCGCCCCGACTTTGTGAAATCTACGGCGAAAATTCTCGTCAGCCAGCACCCATCGGATGCCATGGTTCAAAGTTCATCAGGAAGTCAAAGCAATAATTTTACTCTCCACGCGGAAGTTGAAAAATTCTCTCCTTTCGTGAACAGGAACTTGTGAGTGAGTTAGTCAAGCAGTAGTTGTTTGCAACTCCTTTATCAGGATTAAATATAATTGCTTTTATGTGGATGAATTGAGACTGAGACCTTACTTAAATCGACTCTTTCTATCTGCTTAGACTAGTGCCACAATTTGTCCCGCCAAGCCATTTAGTGTGGCCCTTGACAACACAGTTTGACATTTCATGTTTAAAAAGGCTGTACAAGTACCGGCTGTACGATTAATGATTTTTGCTTGTTGCTGTGTTAAATTTTTTGCCATTTTGCCTGGGACCTTCATTCTCTTCTCTTGCCTTTACTTCGGCACTCTGGTTGTGTTTAATTACTTATTGATTTTAATCGGTGAATTTGTTGATGGGTATTTGTATGTTTGTCTGTTAGATGCACGCGATATCTCACGAAAGCAGATGCACGCGATATCTCACGAAAGCGAGATTGAATCTGCTCCAGATTTTGCATGTGCATTCATCATATGTCGTACCAGAAGCCTATTGATTTTGGATGAATTATGTCGTATAATTAGCGAGTTATTAATTAATTAGTGATGGGACACAAGGTGTCACTATGAGTAAGAGAGCTGTTTTGGGGGATCCCCTAACTTTCGATCGATAAGTCTTCGGTCTCTGACTGATATTCTCGTTTTTTAATCTGTTGTGTTCATATATTTTGCTGGCCCAGCTAAATGTTTGAAGTTGTTTATATGGTGAACCGACAAAATTTGTTGCACAGCTCTGGCTTAAAGTATGTACCACTGCATTTTTTCTATATATCATTTTCATGTAAAATATAATCATCACAACCTTAGTATCATGTTGCTACAGATAAGAATGTCCATATCATGATCATGTATCCAAGGATTCTATACTCCTGAAATACATGTGAACCAAGATGGCAGACACCGGAACATAGTATGTGTACCAGGTTAGGTTCAGACCCTAATTTTATTCCAATTTTCCCCATTTCATTTCTGGTACGAGTTCGGGGGCTATCCAAGTAACTCCCGTAGTATGTGTACCTAAAATTATGGCCTAACCCTAACCTGGTACACATACTACGTTCCGGTTTCTGCCATCTTGGTTCACATACCTCGTAAGTACCAAGGATTCTATGTTGTAAACCAGCGTTTTTCAAACTGGAGTGTTCCATAGAACAGAGGTCGAAATTGAGACTAAATTGATTGCCATGACGATATCGGCCGTACTTTGGAGACTTTGGGTCGTAAATTTGTCTCCCAATTGGCTACAAACAGGTGAATAGACATTGCTATCTAAACAGGCGGACAGGCCTTGTGCCAGTCTGGAAAGCATGGCGTTTTTGTCTAATTGTTAACTGTCGTGCATCAATATCGTTAACTGTCCCCCAAATTTTTCATTTGCTGAGTTTACAGCTATCTTTTTTAATTTTGGTATCATAGGCTAAATTTCTCGAAATTTTAATCGATTGTTGGCTTATATATGGAAGCCTTAAAAGATGTCGAAATAAGCCGATTGTGCAAGTTGATGCACAAAGTAAATTTATTACCTGCTTTTTGGTATTGCGCGAAGCAAGATAAAAAGCGTAGGTTTCCGGGGGCAAAAAGTTTGAGAAACGCTGTTGTAAACAATTTAACAGCAAAACCTTAATTTATGTTGAGTTCACAGCACTGGCACCTTTTGATTTGCTATTTGATTATTCAATAGGTCTGTTTCAAACAAATTCATTTTATTTATCTATGTACATTATTATGCATAAGGATGACCATCAAGTCTATGCATTTGAAACAAATACCGTATATCCTTGTATATATGTCGATCCCCTAAAAACGGCCCTGAAACGACGAATTTATAAGAATATCGAACATAAGCCGACCCTACAAATCGATCATGCGTATGACAATGACAAGTTATTGTAACCAATCACAGACTGTTATCGCTGTCAGAGTGCACCAAACGATGCTTTGCGTGTGTTTGTGCTCAGTTTTATCGTGAGAACTCGAGTTGTAACGGTTGGAATTGAGTTAGCATAATTTCGTTTGAGTGCAATCATATGAGGACGACCACCTAGTTTGGCAACTTTTGAACTCGACTTATATGCGAAGATATACAGTAACTGGCAAACGAATCACGAAGCCGGCATATTTGTGTGTTTTAAATTAAAGAAAAAAAATCAAGTTGCTTTTTGTGTGTCATAATAAATGTCATTTTTCTTATTTCATTTTTTTAATTTCATTTTTTTTTTCAAGTGGTAAAATTTTGCAATGCTGCCATTTAGTACAGTATTTCGTCACAATCATCTAGTCAAATTTTTTAATATTTGAATTGCCCTATTTTACGGCCGGTCTTATTGGGCACTGGTCTTAGGTTAAGGTTTTGTCTATACATGAGGCGGACTGGTCTACAAGGAGCAATGGTACTGGTTTTAAATATAGAGGGGAAATAAGCATGAAGCTCTACCTGATGCATACATAGGCACGCAATCGATACTCGAGAATAGATAAGGATTTAAAGCGTGCCTTATAGTTTATAAAATATGAACATTTTTATGATACCAATGCAAATTGAATTAAATAATTCAAACTGGCCTATCTTCTTACAAAATCATGTTATACAGCTATATCGACACCTTAAAACCAAACAAAAAAAACCTCAAAACTAGAAACCAATCATATCAAAAAATATGATACAAAGCGCTAAGTCCATACCAGCCTCTATAATAACATAATAAAGGGGCCCTAAGTCCAATAAAATTGTTTCTGGTCCAGAAAATTGAGAGCCAAAAAGGGTCAAGTCCGAAAAAAAATTGGGGCGGAGCACAATTTTTTTTATACCATCTGAATATGGCCTTCATTGTAACTTTGGTGGACCATAAAAACTAGACATCCTCGATGTAAGGTATTAGAGAAATAAAAAAAAGAAACAAAAAAAAAAAACGTTTTTTGCGTTTTTCTCAAAACTAGAAAAATGGACTTAGCCCAATTTGGATTTCATGCGTCGATATGGCCCATTTTATTATGTAAAACACAATAATGTGCCCGTTTCCACTGCTAAAATATAATAATTAAAATTGTCGTCATTGCCGTCATTTCTTTTATTTGATTTGTTAGAACTTGTTTTTCGTGAAATCTTTCCAAGTCTGAGGTTCATTTTATTATAAAATCAAAGGAGCATAACTGGCAGCATAGTTGCTACCTGACAAGCATAGGAATGTTTCTGCCAGTTATATTTCATTGATTAATCAGTTGTGGTAATATTGGTCCTAGTCTACTTTGGTACTGTCTGAAATCAATCAAGTGTGAATATAGACAGAATAATCCCACTCTAACAAAGGAGTTCAAAAGCTGCCTTTTCATGCTTCATTAATTTAATTTTCAATTCTGAATGGAACCAAATTGTACCAGATTAGACTAGAAATTGTCTTGAAGGTGACCAATAAATTTAATTGTTTAAAACATATCCCACGCCGAAAAATAAAACATGCCTTAAACTAATAATTCATAATGTTAGGCCACCGGAAAATCTGGAAAGGATGAATTTGTTTTTTTATTGTCAGTGTCCCCATACTATTGAAATTGAAAAAAAAAATGTTGACTCAATGTTTCATTTTTCTGTGTGGGATGGGTTTTAAATTACTAAAGTAATATGTATTCTGTATTATTATTATTTTTTTATGTATTTTGTGATTAACATGAAAGCTAAAAAAGATATAGCCATCCCTTTTTATCACCCTTCCCTTCCAATGGTAATTGCAGCATTCGGAATGCGTTCGTTAGGCCACTTTAAGATCTTAATCAGAGGTGTGCAACATGCGGACTGTCGGCCACAACCCGGCCCACTGAGCCATTTAGTGTGATGTTTTTTGCTCTTGTCACTGCGTTTAATGTTTTGCCTAGTGCCTTTATTACTGCGAAGGTAAGAGATTCTGCATTTTTGTGTAGCCCACTTAGATGTCTGAAGTTTGTTACATGGCCCACCAACAAAATATGTTGCGCACTCCTGATCTAAATAGCCCATTTTTGATGATTCCCTATGTTGCCTAGTCACACCTCAGTGATCTTAATTCTGGCTGAATCAAATATTACTCAAGTTAACCAGACTTGCATATTTTACTCACCTTATTCACATTTTTTAAGTAATTGTGTACAGTTTTTTTCCTCATTCTAGAAAATGTTAAACTATTTTTAAACTTAAAATATTAGTCTACTAACATGGCTACCTCTACTTTATTCGATGATCCTTCAATTCCGTCGTTTCACGAGTACCCGACACGACGTCCGTTTTTAAACTCTGATATAACGAGACCGCCAGGAAAACCAACGAAGTCATACCCAGAAAGTAACAGTGAAGGTTCGTTCTAGTTTTATTGAAGAATTTGCCAAAAAAATGAAATAGGTACCAATATAGAAAGAACACTGCTAAAAAATAAGTCATTGGTAGGACTGGGCATTTGGAGTCGAATCAGACAAGATTTTCTAATTGCCGCCATCTTGTTTTTTCAGTCCGCCAGGCTCGGCAGGTCTGAATGAATCTCTCATTTTGTTCATTCATGTCAAATTTTCAAAATGCAATTTCATTATAGGGTTGTTTTCTTTCGAGCGAGTTATTGATGAAACATGGTACTTACTATGTGTGACTCTCAGCGAACTGTCTCTAGCGCAAGTCGCACTCTAGCTTTTGTACAATTTGAATAGTTTTAATTTAGTGATGAGCTGGAAAAATCGAAATGTAACAACAACATAATTTGCGCACATAATTTGTGAAAATGCATTATATTAACAAGATAACAACACGTCTGCGCTCGCAAAAATTTTTCGCTGTCCCAAGTAAGAGCTGAGGAGCTAAAAATAGATAAGATCCGAAAAAGCTCATTATTAAAAGCATGAGAAATATTGTAATAATAATGTAAAATTAATTATGACATAAGGCAACAAACTTATTTTTCCATTTTTCAGCCGTTCTATCAGCATTGAAAGGTTTGCAAGAAAAAATCAGGAAACTTGAACTGGAACGAGCACAAGCTGAAAAGAATTTGAAATCATTGGCTACAGAGACAAATTTATATAAGGTGAGTCGCTAAATGTTTGTATACCGCTGCTCAATAACCTAAGCAGGACTTGGTTGAAATAAAGGTCGAAGGCCAAATAAGGAGGAAGTGACTAAGAGGAAGGTCTAATGATATGCTGAAAGTTGAGGATATTCAAAATTAACGTAATATAAACGACACACAATTGACTACATTTGATATTTTAAATTTCTTTTGAAATTATCATTTCAAACAATAAAAGTCTAAACTGTGTAACGTAATTTATATAATCGATTAGAAAACGAGAATATCGGTCAGAGACCGAAGACTTATCGATCGAAAGTTAGGGGATCCCCCAAAATAGCTTTTATACTCCATAGTGACACCTTGTGTTCCATCACTAATTAATTAATAACTCGCTAATTATACCACATAATTCATCCAAAATCAATATGCTTCTGGTCCGACATATGATGAATGCACATGCAAAATCTGGAGCAGATTCAATCTCGCTTTCGTGAGATATCGCGTGCATCTAACAGACAGACAGACAAACAGACAAACAGACAAATACCTATCAACATACTTACCGATTAAAATCGATAAGTAACAATTATATCAGTGCTTCCCAACCATTCTTTTCTCATATATTATCATCTCAATAAAAGTCACACACTGGGAAGCACTGTTGTAAACAATATAAATTCAACTATTTTCAATATTTAAAATTCATGTTATTGAAAACGATGTTGACCTATGGATCGTTTGATTAAAATTTGAAAATTGAAAAAAAAAATTGAGCACACGGTTCCACATTAGTCAGGAGGGTCATGGAGGCTACGGTACCGGTAGTCTACTGTGACAGCTTGCATACCTGTTCTACTTTGTATCCATTTATTTGAGCATCGCTTTCTTGTTTAATTAGATACCGTATTTCTCCACGTATTATAGACACTTTCAATGCCAAAATTCAAATTCAGAATAAGGGGGTGCGTATTATGCATTGACATAGAAAATATCATAAAAAAATATTACCGTAATCCTTATTTTATACTTAACTGGATAATAATTCTCACATATATTTTAATCTTAAGTGTTTTAACTTCATTTAGCAAAGTCTGTTAAGAACGGATCATGCTTGTTTCGGTAAAAGCAGGACGAATCCAACAAAATTTATTGTTAGCAAAAGTAGCAAGAAATTTTATTAATTCATCAACTGGAGCGTCCAAAAAAATGGTGAATTAAACGTGATAAGAACAGCTGTACATCGTTAACTGCTGTCATTGTCTGTATGTCGAACAGGCTGGCGGCCTCTCTTTGAAGTGCGGTGTCTAAAAACACACTCTGACTTCCGGCCTTATCAGCTTTTAAAAAGATCAGAGACAAATAACAGCATGATACTTTAATGTCAAATACCATCACATCATGATTGGCAGACCTTTACAGCGTACCGACATGAAACAACATATTAATTAGGAGATATACAAATAATACAATAACAAAAAGCAGACAGAATGCCTGAAACTCTCTCGCGAAAAAAACGCCAACAACGCAAGAGAGGAACTAACCCCAAATGCGTATTATGCAAGAAGATTAAAAAATTGTGCAGTTGTGCTAAAATGCACATGCGTATTATCTATGGGTGCTTACTATGCAAGGAGAAATACGGTAATTGAAACCTGACCAGCCCAGACAGATAATTTTTTAAGCACGTTACATGAATGGCCATACCTTGTTTATAAACTTTATCCCACGCTTAAGCTTGATAGGACTTAATAATATTTTTGAATAGGAAAGCTTATATACGTTGGGAAACCTCGTTTGAATTGTTGTTTACTTTTTGCCTTTGTTCTATAAACTTTAATTGTGTATAATCATCCACAGCAACAGAATTGAGTTCTTACTTTTAGTTTGAATTGTTGTTTACTTTCTGCTTTTATTCTGTGATCATTTGTTTTGTTTAATCATCCGCGACGACAGAATTCAGTTCTCACTTTTAGTTTGAATTGTTGTTTACTTTCTGCTTTTGTTCTGTAATCATTTGTTTTGTTTAATCATCCGCGACGACAGAATTGAGATCTCACTTTTAGATTAAATAAGTTTACTATAGAGATGTCACGTTTTATATGCTTTGGTTGACAACAATAACAGTACCATAATACCACATAGGACTTACCATATTTTCATAATCTTAGAGTAGAGTCATTCTCACTAATATGTAAAGAAAATAAAAGAACATTGTTTGCACCAGTGTTTTTCAAGCTATTGATTGTTATATATTTTTGATTAAATTTTGGTAATAAGAGTACTACATAGTTGGTATTTGAGCATATCCTTGGGTTGCGAGATTTCACAGAATCTATTTTTTAGTCGCTTAAAAAAAAGGTTGAGAACCATTTGGTTTACACAATATTTAAAAAACAACATTATTTAAAAAAGGTTTTATTTTAAGAATTGGAAATACTGCACTGTATTTGATTATCGTATTCTGGTCGAAGGCCAGAACACGAACGTCTTTTAAGAGGTGTAAAAAATGTGTTTCAAGGAAAATAGTATGTAAGATGCGTAAAAATGTTTTTATTTTTATTTTTCAAAAGAGGTACCTGCAACCCTTTCTCCTCGGTATGCCCAGCTGTGTCTGTGTTACTTTTTTAGGTCGTTTTTCATAACCAGACTGTATACACACAACTGAATAACTGCGTTACTTTCTTTTTCAATTTTTTTTATTTTTATATTTAGGACCTTTTATCCTCAAAGCAGTCACCCACAAAATCTTCATCATCCAGTCCAGAGCAGTCACCAGAACCTCGCGTTCCTTTGAGAAAAACTAGATTTGCTTCTCCATTGTATGCTGGATCACCAATCAGTCATTCTAGGAGAGATGCAGAAGGTATGCATGGGTACTTATCAGACTTTCATGACCTATGGCAGACATGGGCAAAGTGCAGCCCGCGGGGCAAATCCGGCCCGTTAGGTAATTCAATTTGGCCCGCCCGATGCTGCCACAACCAAACTAAAACCAAATTTTGATGTTTCAGCTGAAAATAGCACAAGGAATTTGTTAAGATTGCGGTTAAATTTAGTTTTGGCTTGAAGTATATTGTTTTTAACAATTGTTCATAAAATGTAACTTGCTGGTATTACATCACTCTTACATGGCCCGCCAGTCTAGGTGGGCAAAATTTTTGGCCCCTGGTTCAAAAACCTTGCCCAACAAATTATAACAAATTATAGCCCACTGGCCGGATCTGGCACACCACAGTTTCTCATCTGGCCCACTCGTGTCTGCTGCAATTATGACTAGCCTATAGTTTTTGGATAGAAATATTCTTTGAAAATATTGATGAAAACAACTTCATAAGGACCCCAATTGTGACTTTGTGCTTTTTATTTTTATATAAACGTTAGCCTGGCTGTCGTAAATAAACTGTTTTTATTCTATTTTACAGAAGTCGAATCTCAGCTTCGAGGTGCAGATACACGATGCAACGTTTTAGAACGACAACTGGAAAATATGAGAAAGATGGTTCAGAATGCAGAAAAGGAGAGAAGTGATGCGTTAGAAAGACAAATTGCTCTGGAACGAGACAGAGGGAGAATAACCGCTGAACATAGACAAGCTCAGGAAAAGTATGTTTTGTATTTTGTTTGAAAAGCTGTTATAAACTCCACTTTGCTCACAAATATTTATTTTTTGGTAATTTTTGAAAGAACATATTCTGGGAACAGAGTGAAAGAGCCTATCTGAGCAAAGTTTTGGCGTCTACTGAATTTCCATGAGCTACTGAAACTACATTGAAGTATAGGGCAGTGCTTTCCAACCTTTTATGGCTTGTGGCCCATTTATGGAGGCTTTTAGCACTCATGGCCCTCTGCTTATCACTCGGTCTTTATCACAGTAATATTTTAATTGGTAGATTCCAAATCCCATTGTGTTCAAACAATTCATGCTCAACAAAGTGAAAACACCCTGTAAAATAACTTTATCAAGCAATGAAACTAGGAAGAACTTGAAGTAAAGTAAAATCGAGCATTGCGGCTCCCCTCAAAGTTCTCTGTGGTCTCCTTGGGGGACAAGATGCCTTTTGTTGGGTCCGCTGGTATAGAGGAACTCTATTTGTAATCTACTATTTCATATACATTCTGGAATAGTATTTTTTAGGTCTGGATTATAGAATATACGTTAAGAATTGATGAAAGATTCGAATGTTTTTAAAATTTTACATCTTAATTGAATTTAATAAACATCTTAATTCTTACATACAAGTGGAGCAATGTTCAGAGTTCAGACATTGCATAGAAAAACCAATTATATTTGAAGGTTCTTTGAGCAACTGACCTGCGGAAATCCTCTTTCCAAGTTTCTTCTGATTCTAACCTCCTATCTTCCTGATTATGTTCTCAGACTTGCCAAGTTATCAACAGTAGAAACTCAGTACAAGAGTTTGGCCCAGGAGAAAGCTGCTACAGAGGTAATTGTTTATTATGTTGTGTTGGCGATGGCATGGACCAGAGCCAACTTAGACTATTGTGGGGCTCTATATGAAACAAATTGTGTGGAGCACAGTGTGAGTAAGGATAAGAACTGAGGATAGACGTTTTATGGTTTTTCACTGCTTTTGCACGTTTTGACAAAGTTTCTAGTGCTTTTTGATGGTTTTTCACTGATTTTGCACGTTTTAGCAAGGTTTCTAGTGCTTTGTGACGGTTTTTCACTGATTTTGCACGTTTTGGCAAGGTTTCTAGTGCCTTTTGACGGTGTTTCACTGTTTTTGAACGTTTTGGCAAGGTTTCAGGTATTAAATAAGAACTTCTTTTCATTCATAATGTGCATCTGCCTCCTACACTTGTTATTTTTAATGCTACGCAAACATGTTTTTTGAACTATCAGATCAATTAAAGCTCAAAATTTAAGTTTCTAGCCATAAAATCTCTTTTTTTTTTTTTTTTTTTTTTTTATTGCAACAAAAAAATTGTTAAAAGCAATATTGTTAACAATATGTCAAATAATATCAATATTTAGCTAATGGCAATCAATTTGGCACAGCACACATAATTTTATTTTTATTGTATATCAGGGGGGGCTCATATACGAATGAGTTATCATGCTAAATATATTCTTTGGGTATACATATTAGCTGCAATATTCAAATTAAAATATTTACTGTATAATTCGAACCAATAGTTTGTTTCAATTTAAACTTATACATCTTAGCGTTTGCATGTAGTGACTATTTTGGATGAGCTAAAACATTATCAGTTTGGTCATGGTTATTTAAATTAATTGGAAAATCTTTATTTAAAGTGAATAAAATAGTTTTCATGGTTATCGTGACACTGCTAGCAATTCACTCCCATGTTTCAATATAAATAAGGCAGAAATAACAAAAACATAAAAAATGGATGGAAAAACACTAAATTTTGGAAAATGTAAATCTCACGATTCATTGACTAGAAAATTTTTATTTCAGTCTCGGATCACTGATTTAGAAGAAAAACTGAAATACGAAGAGCATCAGAGGAAACTATTGGCTGATAAAGCGGCACAATTACAATCAGAGGTAAGTTTGAAAACTGACAAAAAAGCTGAATGTGTCTATGTAACAATTTCATCATATTTTTGCCATGGCGCTACCAAGAACATCAGTCCAAATGCAGTTTTGCAGAACCGGGACTTAAAATCACTGTACGAGGGTGCAAATTTATGAATGAATAAACTTTAAAATATTCAAAATTGAAAAAATTATCTTAAGGAATCCAGATTCGAATCCTATGCAGGGATAGTTATGTGCGCCGATCGCTGCTGTAGGGTGTTTCACGTAACCGCTGGTCAGTTACGGCTTCCTCAGCCATTGAGTCCATGCATCCGAAAACAATTAACTGGCTAACTAATCCCATACCCGACCTGGACTGGTAACTGGACGAGAGGCCGTGGTTCGCAATATGATTAAGTCGTCTTATCGGCATTCCGCTCCCTCGGGATAAATATGTAAATTCCACCCTATCCAATATCAGGATATACAAAGACTTGATTGTTCTTTCATCTCACTAGGCTGAAAGCAACCGGATCCTTTTGAAGACACAAATTCCAACTCGAGACGCCGGGCCACAATCTTCTGAGAAACCAAGAAGTACAAAAGCAACAAAGAAAACAACTAAAAAGAAGAAACAAAGACCCCAGTCAGCACCTCAACCACAACAAGGTAAAGTTGCCAATGACTAAATTTTTAATTGATCAATAGTTTACTCTTGTGGTCAGGGGCTTACCCAGGAATTTTCAAAGGGGATTAGGTTCTGGAATTTTTAATTGCCAAGTAAGACTTTCCAGCAGGCGGGTCCAGTTGGAAAACTTGGGTTTCAAGAATCCAGAGCAGAGGTTCCCAAACTTTATTGGCCGCTGGCCAAAACTTGAAACGGAGGGATGTTCGCGGGCCGGAAGAGTGTAGCGCCTGAAAGCGTGTGACATATCTAAGCTCTTATGGTTCATATCTAAATTACTGCCCTATGTAATCATAATACCAGTACGAATAATTGAGATAATGCTTTAATTGAATTGTTACGATAAACATGTCCTTAAAATGTGATGATTGCGTAACACTTGTCGCTATCTAGAATGCAAAAAGGTGAAGCAAAATCTGGTGCACACTATTTCACTCAAGCTCGGCGGGCCATTTTGAATCGTTACGCGGGCCGGATTTGGCCCGTGGGCCGCGGTTTGGGAACCCCTGATCTAGAGGGTCTAAAATGGGCGCTCCAGAAGTATGTGTACCAATATGGAGGTAACTAATTTTGTTCACCTACCTTACATCAAGAAGAAACTGAAACCTTTGGGCAGGGGGTATATTCAATTGGCCAACACAAACAGTCCCCGAACTCGTAATAGAACTAAAATAAGGAAAATCGGAATTAAATTATATATTCACTTCGCTAACATAGACAGTCCCCGAACTTGTAATAGAACTAAAATAAGGAAAATCGGAATTAAATTATATATTCACTTCACTAACATAGACAGTCCCCGAACTTGTTACAGAGCTAAAATAAGGAAAATCGGAATAAAATTATGGCCTAACCCTAACCTGGTACACATACTATGGGAGTACCCTAAAAAGTGCTATCTAACCCAACTATCAGGGACAGCCAAAGCCAAATATCGTTCTATTCCGAATACATCCTGGGAAAGTTTCTGAAAATATTGAGTTTTGAGTTCTAAGTTGGGGCTAAATGCGTGTGGAAAATGTCATAAATCCCTAGGACCTTTTCCTACATGCACTAATAACATTTTTTTTTAGGACCATCTATCTTTATAAATGCATTCCCCATTTAGGTTATTGGGGGGGATAACTGGAAAGGTCCAATTACTATATATTCGATTTTGATCATATCATTGTTTTCTTTGTTTTGTATCTTACTGGTTGAGATATCGTACGTTTTGATATGCTCATCTGATTGCAGGACTTCTCGACGCTGTAGAGGGGCTCACATAATTTCCTCCCCTATCAAGTTCATGCTTCCGAAATCAAATAACTGGCAAACTAATCCCATACCCCAGTGGTCGACAACCACCGGGCCGCGGCCCATCGCCGGTCCAGGGAAAGGTTACTACCGGTCCGCAGAAACGGTGTCCACAAAAACATGTTTTGTTGATTAAAACTCAAACAATAATTAGTTGAAAAGAGTCTTTGCGATTTATAGGGTACTTCGGCAGTCTTTTGGGCAGTACTTCTAACTGAATACCCCGGCATTGCAAAAAAGCTCTACAGGCACTTTTACATCTATGTGAAGTCGGGTTTTTAAAATTGACAACTAACTACAAAATCGCAGTAGGCTGAACGTGAGAAACACATTACTTGAAAAAAAACACTTTTGTTCTATGAATTTAATATCAACCTATTTATTCTAACACATATAATTTATTACATAAGCTTATTCCGCCTGTACAAGGTGGTCCGCCAACATTTTGGTCAGGCTTTACCGATCTGTCACCGAAAAAAAGGTTGCCGACCGCTGCCATACCCGACATGGACTGGTAACCTGACGAGAGGCCTTGGTTCGCCAATGATCTTATCAGTTTTTCTCTCCCCGGGATGAATATTTAAAACCTATCCTATGACACACGTTATTGAAGCTTAAACCAATATTACAATTTACTTATTATTGATAATCTGTTTCTTGCAGCTACCAGAAAAGTTGTTCGTAGACCAGCACCTCAATTTACCAGGCAAGCAGGACAACCCCACTACAGATTGAATCTCGCTGATGTTCCTTTTGTTACTGGAACGGTAAGTCTACTGCGAAGTATTCATTTACTGTTTTTTTAAAGTAACAGTTTATTTACAAAAGCTAGTCCAACACATAGGCTAACGTTTATATAATAATAAGAAGCAGAATGTAACAATGTCGAGGTCATATATATTCCGGTATTGATTTTTTTAAATAGTATTTCAGGAAAATAGCTAAACTGTAGTGAATTCCTCCTAACTAAAGAGATATAAACAACTTCTATTTTCTTCAGAATCCTGGAGCTAGTCATGCAGTGGCTGCAAATCTTCAGAAAGTTTTATTTGATTTGAAACATCACAATCCAATATATTGTAACGATATAGTTGTGAGTGAGAACAGGATGGAAGAGGGGTAAGGAATATTTGTTTATTACTTAGGGCAGCGATTCCCAGAGGGAGCGCACTGGTGTTTCGCACCAATTTCATAACCATGTCTCGAAAATTTAACCGAGTTTGGCGAATATGAGTGATTTTTTCAACATTTCAAATGTAAATTATGCACAGAATAAGAGGTAAACTTTTGCCTATATTCTTTCCAGTGTTTATAAACTTTGAAAGGAATAAAGTACACATTAACGATCATAAAATTGAGTTTTATTTAAAAGCGGCCATTTTTTCCGTGTGTGTGCGCCCTAAGTTCTTATCTTTGAGATGTTTAAAGTAACTCATGGTTGCGTTGACTAACGAAAAAATTTATGCATTACTACTCTAAAATACAGCGGCAATCTGCGGACACAAAATGTGTGGTAAACTGCCCGATTATAATTAATTTTTGATTCCTATTTTCGTACTTCGAAAAACATGAGCATTACTATTCTAAAATACCACGGCAATCTGTGGACATAAAATGTCTGGTAGCCAGTTTGTAGATAACAGTTATTCTATTGTTTATTGCAGTGTTCTTCGACCTTTTTTCATCGTGGGGATACCTTTTACAATTTTTCAAGAACTTTGTATACCTTACAAATACCAATGTTTATTTGAGAGTTAAATAAACATTAAATTTTAAGCACATATTGTACAAACTAATAGGCAAGTGTCCGCAAGTTATAAATTTGCCGTCCTGATAGCATGTTTTGATTGGTTAATTTTCTCTTAAACTTAAGTTATAAATTTGCCGTCCGAATAGAATGTTTTGATTGGTTAATTTTCTCTTAAACTTCCATTGAGAAAATATTTAAAAACATTTTCATTATGTTTTCATTCCAGGAGTATAGAAGAGCCTTCGAATCTACCAAACAACACTAGAGGTCGCCCAAGTTCTGCGCCATCACAAAAATCGAAGAAAAAGAGATCAATGAAACCCCCTCTCCCCCCATCAAGTACGGAGCAAGATTTATCAGAGTTGCTTGTGGCTCTTCAAGATGAATTTGGAAAAATGACTTTGTGAGTGCATTTCCTGTAATGATTTTAAACACGGTTGTGAAGTCTGAAAAAATTTGTCGTTGATTCAGTCCGAGTTGAGAAAAAGTTTTGGTCTGGCTCCCAACTCTGGAGACAACTAATTTTGTTCGCCTACTTTACATCAAGTTGTGTAAAGGGACTGAATCCTATGGGCAGGGGGTATATTCACTTGGCTAACACAGACAGTCCCGAACTCGTAATAGAACTAAAATAAGGAAAATCTGAATAAATTATGGCCTAACCCTAACCTAGTGCACACATTATGGGAGTACCAACTGTTCTTTCCTTTAGGATAGGATAATCAGAGAATCTTATTTCTATTCAGTGAACATCAAGTCCTTGTCAAACAACTCGGAGAAACAACGAATGGACAACTCAAAGATGATTTGGAGAAAGAGCTTGAGTCCGTCGTTCAAAAAATGGAGCAGAAAGCGGATCAAATTGCCACTGTGAGGAGACATAGAGCTATTTTAGAAGACAAAAGAAAGAAAACTCCGTCTGAGAAAATGAACAAACCAAGTATGTATGGATTATTCACTCTTCTGAACTCTCGGAACTTGTTTCAGTAGCTTCTGGCATCTTCAGGTCTGCTTGTAGCGTTGCCCAGAAATTAATCTCTCTCTCATGTCTGAGTGAGCGTAACTTGACGTGAGGGATATGATTGCAATCTCAGCATTGGAGTTCATAGGTTTGAATTGCACAGAGATAGTTTTTAAATGTATGGTACTCAATGAACATACGAGCAGGCAATGAGTGAGATGACGTCATCGAACCACACATCTCGGCTGCCTCTTGGCCATTCAACAAGAGAGCGATGCTTAAATATATTGTCACGAAGGCCACAACAAAGTAGTTCCTTAGTCGAAATAAAACTCTTGAAAGTCTGAATCAATACATACTAATGTTAAATACTGATAGGCAGCAATTCGATAAGATTAAGATATATCTGTATATGTTTCAAACTCTTTTCATATCGTTGCGGACCCTAGTTTGGGAAACCCTGGAAACCCACAATCCGTCACAGTAAACTACTGGTACAAAATCTTTACGACTTACGCGAAAGCGGAATCGTGACAATTTGCGCAATTTTTTATTCTGTTATCGCACACAATAAACGAATCCCGTAGAATCCACGGAAATTTGTTCGAGCGTACAATAACTGATACAAAGTTTTTATATCTTTGTACACATTTGGACAATTATTGATATTTAGGTACATGTTTTGTTATATTTTTTGTATTTTCAAATGCGTAAGAACGAATTAAAATAATTACCGTTGTTTCCCATGACAGCAAAAGAATCAGTACTCGGACAAATCATCAGTCGAACCCCAATCCCTAACGAATTATGTTCGACTACGGAGGTATCATTGTAAAAATTCCCACTGCTTACCTGTATTTTCACTTAGCACCACTGCGGCTAAATTAATTGCTTAACTATCCTGACCCTTTACACAGCATGTCCACTTCACCAACAATCTACCCCCTGCCCATATGTTTCAGTCCCTTTACACAACTTGATGTAAAGTAGGAGAACAAAATTAGTTACCTCCATATTGGTACACACAATTCTGAAGCGTCAAAAATTCTCTCTGGGGAAGAATTCTCCTGGTTAAGAAACGTTTCCTCAATTTATATTTTTTTACGCTGCACGTCTGTCTGTGTTAGCCAAGTCAATAGGTTTCAGTCTCTTTATACAACTTGATGTAAAGTAGGCGAACAAAATTAATTACCTACATATTGGTACACACAATTCTGAAGCGTCAAAAATTCTCTCTGGGGAAGTATTCCCCTGGTTAAGGAACGTTTCCTTAATTTATGATTTTTCACACAGCATGTCCACTTCTCCCACTTCATCAACAATATCCTCATGTGAGATCAAGATCAGCTTCGGGATCAAGAATGAAGCAACAAGCTCCAAGCTGTGCTAATAGGAAAGGATGCTCTGTTAAAAGTTATTCTGCGTCGTCATCGCCAGCAGGTACGCATGACTGGTTTTAGTCTTTTGTCTGCTTTTTTCATGCAGTAGGTAACGCATGATTATTTGACGCATTACTGAGTAAATTTGCTTAGTTGTTAGTTATTCTTTGTCTCCATTGCCAGCAGGTACGCATGACTAATTTTATTCGATTATTTTATGTTGTAGAAGTTATTCTGTGTCTTCATTGCCAGCAGGTACGCATGACTGATTTAGTCTGCTTTTTTCATGCCGTAGGTCATGCATGGTTTTTTGATGATTTACTGAGTAAATTTGCTTATGTTATGAAAAGTTATTCTGTATCTTCATCGCCAGCAGGTATGCATGTTTGATTTCAATTGCTTATTCTTGGCTGTAGGTTATGTATGACCGATTAGTGATTACATTCTAAGTGAACTTGCCCATGTCAGTCATAAGGTATCCTGCACCTTCATCGCCAGCAGGTACGCTTGGCTGATTTTATTTGCCTCTTTTCTGTCACAAGTTATGCATGTCTCATTTTTAAAATTATTTCATGAGTAAAGTAGCAATCAATGAAGTACCAAGAGCTGTTAAAACTACATAGATTTATGTTGATATATTACGACCCATTTTAGAGTTGATATTGATTCCCTTTTTCCAGGTTCTGGCAAACTTCCCGGGGGAGAAACACATCGGAATCGACTCGCATTTCTACAAGACATGAAGACCGTACACGCAGCACTGAGAAAAGATGACATCAGCTGGGACTAATTTTAATTACTAATTAATTAATTGATAAGGGTTTTAGGGGGTTTTCAGAAAGATAGACATTCTATATTCAGATAATTTGTGTTTTAGAATTATCTCGCAGTTGATCTAATTAATCATTTAATTAATTTAAATGTTTAATATATCAGGAAGATTTATTTGAAACTGAGAATTCTATCCCCAATAGCTTATATATGGATCCTATATTAAAACTAATCCCAGGGAATTGAAATTATTTTTATGCTATTTTTAATGGAAATGGACATTAGAAATGGTGAGCATTTGCAACCAGGTTCATTTATAGTAAGACATGCACAACTGATGAGTTCCGATTATCTTAAGATAGGATAATAGTAATCTAACTCAACATGACCTATATGAACCTGGTAAGAGCATTTCATATTTGAAAATATAATTTCAGGAAGTATATACCTAAGGCCGGAAGTAGATTATTACTTATCGATTTTAATCGGTAAGTATGTTGATAGATATTTGTCTGTCTGTATGTTAGATGCACGCGATATCTCACGAAAGCGAGATTGAATCTGCTCCAGATTTTGCATGTGCATTCATCATATGTTGGACCAGAAGCCTATTAATTTTGGATGAATTATGTCGTATAATTAGCGAGTTATTAATTAATTAGTGATGGGACACAAGGTGTCACTTTGGAGTAAGAGTGCTGTTTTGGGGGATCCTCTAACTTTCGATCAATAATTCTTCGGTCCCTGACCGATATTCTCGTTTTTAAATATTGCCACCCTTGTGGCGAAGTAGTTTTGGACCAAATACCCCCATAGGATTACGTTATTCACTTCATTAGACGACGAAAATAAGATGTTACATACAAATGTTTTTAAATATTGCTAGCTATTAATTTAGTATTTTATTACTGCAATAGCGTAGATTTTTTGTTACAGGATTTTTATATATTTTGTTGTTTATTCTCCTATTTATGGTGGAGAAAGATATGTATTCTGTTTTGTATCGTCAATAAATGTATTTATATATAGTATGTTCTTTTGAACAGACTTGTAAGCAGGTGCGTGCTAAAGTATTCTGTTGCCCAGGGCGAGTCTCTGATAATGATATCCCCTTTCGAAAACACAACTAAAACTGGCTGCAATAACGACTAAAAAGAGCGTCAATGTCTGAAAATTTGTCTCAGCGGCCGCCGAAATTTCAATCGTTACATTGTGCTATCTTGCTGATTAGACAGAAGTATTCTGCTGCCCAGGGCGAGTTTCTGATAATGATATCCCCTTTCGAAAACACAGCTAAAACTGACAGATTGCTGCAATAACGACTAAAAAGAGCGTCGATGTCTGAAAATCTGTCCCAGCGGCGCCAAAATTTCAATCGTTACATTGTGCTATCTTGCTGATAAGACAGAAGTATTCTGCTGCCCGGGGCGAGTTTCTGATAATGATATCCCCTTTCGAAAACACAACTAAAACTGACAAATTGCTGCAATATCGACTAAAAAGAGCGTCAATGTCTGAAAATCTGTCTCAACGGCGCCAAAATTTCAATCGTTACATCGTGCTATCTTGCTGATTAGACAGAAGTATTCTGCTGCCCAGGGCGAGTTTCTGATAATGATATCCCCTTTCGAAAACACAACTAAAACTGACAAATTGCTGCAATAACGACTAAAAAGAGCGTCAATGTCTGAAAATCTGTCTCAACGGCCGCCAAAATTTCAATCGTTACATTGTGCTATCTTGCTGATTAGACAATATTAAGGCGGATTCACATTTACCGGCACTGATTCTGGGGCGCTCCAGAAGTTTGGGTACCATTACCTATATGGAAGTAACTAATTTTGTTCGCCTACTTCACATCAAGTTGTGTAAAAGGACTGAAACCTATGGGCAGCGGGGCTAATCACTTGGCACAGACGGTCCTTGAACTCGTAATGGAACTAAAATAAGGGAAATCGGAATTAAATTACGACCTAACCCTAACCTGGTACACACACTACGGGAGTACCGATTCTGGAGCCCCACATAGGGCTGACTTATCGACTTTAATCCTCGATATATATTCTATTCTGTTTTCTGTATGTTTTTAAAATCATACGCTGGTACAAGTCATTAAACAGTAATGTATATTAGAAATTTATAAAGTTATTAATATCATTTGATCAAAATCGTCCCACAATGAGCAATAATTAAATTGCGGAAGTTTTATGTACAATTCCAGTTTCCTTATATTAAGGGGTCAAAGGGTAAGTTGCACTGCTTGCGATTCCACAGTTATTTCCTCTGTTCCGTGACATCACAATGTAGCCTTTCATTCCCCACTCGGCTCCCCAGCTGTAAAAAAATGAGAAAATATTAATGTATGAAATTGATTGGCTCACAAGCTCAGTGTATATAGACGGGTATGGAAGCAATGGCCCGTGCCATTGGCGACGTTTGGAAAGAGGGCTCAAAACCATTTATTAAAACTGTATAAAACATAAATCTCACGATTTCGAGAGAACACATAGGATCAGAGACAACCTAACATTGCCGACTTTCATCGTGCAACCCGAGAAGCAGCGCCATAACAATTCTGACTTAACGGGGGGCCGCGGAAAAAGGTAATATATTGGAAGGGGTCGCGGGCTTAAATGTTTTTAGGAAGCCCTGACTTATAGCAACAACAGTTGTAATTTATATCTTATTTCATTGGGAAAAGTTAGACTATGATTTAACGAAAGCTCCTTTTTGTTAAATTGTTGTTGTCAGGTAAAAAAAAATCGCTTTTCTCCGCAACTAGTCGAACAAGCTATTTCAAATTTTCGGACCATAAAAATGACAAAAACTCGCCAGATTATATAAAAAACAACTCATGTACGGTGCGTGATATTATTTCCCTATGACTCTCCTGACGTGCCGAAACTGCGCTTTCCTAAAACGGTTGGCTTCCAAGACTCGAGTTAACACGTGTCAAAACTTGATTGTGTAATATATATATTTTTAATTTTTTCAACCTAACACATGAAAAGGCATAATGCTTGCTTGTTGCGATCAAGTTGTTTGCGGTCCGGAGGTTGAAAATAGAATGACTAAATATGGGAACCAAATATCATATCGTAGCCAACATGCCACGCGACCAATCAACGGCCGACACGACATAGACCTGGGGGTACTCCTATAGTATGCGAACCAACGTAGTATGTGTACCAGGTTAGGGTTAAGCCATAATTTTATACCAATTTTACTTATTTTAGTTCTATTACGAGTTCGTGGACTAGCTAATCGACTCCCGTAGTATTTGTACCTAAAATTATGGCCTAACTCTAACCTGGTACACATACTACGTTCCGGTGTCCGCCATGTTGGTTCGCATACTACAGAGGTACCAAGCTACGCATCGTTATACTCACTTATTTCGAACAATCCAGTAATCATGTGAATCCATAGTTCCGTATCCAACGATCAACATAGCGTGATCGAGTTTTGTAGAACTGCATTCTGTACTGTAGTAGACCCCTGGAAACAGAAACGCCGATGATTAAAATTTAAGACAGAATTTAATCGTGAAATGTTTCAATAAACTAATTAAAAAGTGGAAATAAATAAAACTCGTATTTTTTACCCAAATATCATACAAATTTCAACAACAATGATTAAGAAAAATTGTCGACTAACATTCAAGGGGGCGCATATTGAAACTTTCCCATTGGCGCCATTTTATGTCGATACGCCACTGGACATGTCCGGCAGTGCTTACAAATTTAAATTTAGAGTGTGGTAAAAAACGAGTTATAACTTATAAAAATATGTTATGTATTTGACTACCCATGTTTCCAGATATATGTGCCACTTTCTGGACATTCAAAAATGATTATGTTCAAGTCAGTAAATTAAAGTTCGGTGTCACGAAAAATAGTGAGAGTTTAAAGATTATTTTGGAGAGGAGGGGGAATCTCTCTATGGAGAGGGTTGTACTGCGCCCACCTGACTTATATAGTTGAAACGATGGCTGGCTTGCGTCAACTACAACGGATATCGGTCCAATCTCCTTCACAGCTCTTTGCAACGTTGCTTCATCTCCATTAGGTAATTCAACGCACCCGGACATTGTTGCTCCTATTCCAGAAGGAGTGAAATGACATTCTCCAGGCTGAAAGTTTGCAATCACAAAGTTAACGCCCGTTTAAGAGAATATCTTATCGGAAACAAAATGTACATATAAATCGTTTTGTTATTATGTTGTTGTTGTTCTTGTTGGTATTTGTCTTCTTGTCACAAAAAATCGCTTTTCTCATTGATTAGACCAATTTGCTTTTAAATTTTCAGTGGTTAAATTGCATTTTTCGCTATTACCCTCAGTTCTTTCGAAACTTCCTGTGGTCTCCTAATTTTGTGTGATGTCCTCTTCAAAATTAATAAAAATTATTTGTAGCGATTCTGCGAACTTTTTGAATTAGGGGTGTCATGGCAAGCGCGCCCATGACGCTTATCACGGCACGCCAATCGATGAAATAAACAAGGCATAATTAAAGATAATTTAAGCAGTGGCTTCCAAAGTTGATTGACCGGGGGGGGGCAAAACTAGAAGCGGAAGGATATTCGCAGGGAGTGGGAGCGCCCGTAAGGAACCGATCCCGGTACCGATACGTGTAGTTAAGATACCGGTATAATTTGGTTAGAGAACCACTGATATAAAGCTACCATTTACCATTCCCGTAGACGGGTACGAAGCCTCCGAGTCGATGCCTTTGTTGTTTATAATATAAGCATAAGCTTGTTCGACAGTTCCTCCTCTGCAACCGCTCGATGAACAGTCAATTAGGTTTTGCTCACTCAATAAGACAAGCATTCCCGTATTCTTGAAGTGTTGGCCTTCCAGTGTTCCTGTCTGGAAAACAAGAGAACAATGCTCAACTATACAGGGTGTCCATAAAGTCCCTTCACAGTGTCAATTTTGTAATAAAGTCAGTTCTCAATATATCTTAACCAGGTTTGTTGTTTTTATTCAGTAATTGATCGAGTATTTTTTACTTCATTTATTACATCTGTGAGGGCCAAAACAATATGGTATCGATAAACTTCCTTTGCAATTTAAAGAAATTTTAAGACTGTATGGAACCCTATATATAATATGTTAACGGAGGTCAAATAGCTAACATGTCTATCGTTTACCTATAAACCAGGTACTCTCTGTAAGACTGTGCCAAAATTCCGTATCAGTAGCCTATCTCTTTGCTTTTCAGTGCTCGCCCGCAACTTTACTCATAGATATATTAGGATCTACATATTTATCACGGGCTGAAGAAAATCCGATAAAACGTCTAATCATCATATGGAAAACCGAGAGAGAAACGCTCTCTTTTTGTAATGCATACCAATTACATTTGAAACTCATAAATGCCATTTGGTAGTTGTAGGATTTACGCGTATCGGCAGCAGATTTTACGCACAGTAAAGAGAATGTAAATGTTTTCAAAAAAGGCAAATGCAGGAATGCAATAAACGAGAATATCAGTCAGAGACCGAAGACTTATCGATCGA